CTTGTGTATGTTTGCTGCAGCTGCTGCAGCAGCAGCAGCAGCAGCAACTGCTGCAGCAGCAGAACCTGACGCTTCGTCTGCGAGGCCTCGAAGCAGCAGTGCAGCGTCTCCTCTACCGCGATCAGACGCAGCTGCAGCAGCAAACAATGAAGGGGCCCCTGGGGGCCCCCCTAGGGGCCCCCCTGGGGGCCCCCGTAGGGGCCCCCTTAGAGGCCCCTAGGGGGGCCCCCAAGGGGGCCCCCAGGGGGTCTCCGCAAGGGGCCCCCCAGGGGGCCCTCCAGGGGGCCCCCCAGGGGGCCCTCCAGGGGGCCCCCCAGGGGGTCCCCCAGGAGGCCCCCCAGGAGGCCCCCCAGGGGGCCCCCCAGGGGGCCCCCCAGGGGGGCCCCCAAGGGGCCCCCCAGGGGCCCTCTGGGGGCCCCTCTTCGATGCCAAGTGACAGCAGAAGGTCAACTGCTGTGAGGCATTTGCTGCTGCTTTTGCTGCTTCACTTTTGTGTCTCTGTTTGTGTCTTTTTGTTTTCTTTTTTATCTTTTTGTCTCTTTTTGTTTTTCAATTTGGAGACTCTTTTTGCTTCTTCTCTTTTTCATTTTTGCTGCTGCTGCTTCTGTCTCTGTCCCTTTGCTGCTGCAGAAGCACATAGCAGGGAGGCAGCGGGCGGGCCTCACAGCAGCAGAAGCAGAAGCAGCAGCAGCAGCAGCTGCTGCAGCAGCAGCAGCAGCAGCAGCAGACCGCAGCTGCGTCTCTTCCCCTGACACGCGGCAGAAGGCTCGGAAGCTGCAACGGCAGCAGCAGCAGCAGCAGCAGCAGCAGCAGCAGCAGCAGCACATATCTGCCTCTGCGCGCGGCGCACGGGCCTTGAGAGGCGCGCGGGCCCGCCACGGCCTAAGCAGCAGCAGCAACAGCAGCAAAGCAGCAGCAGCAGCAGCAGCAGCAGCAGCAGAAAGTTCAGAAAATTTTGGAGATGGAACTTCTGTCTCCTCAGAAGCTTTCGGCTCAAGTGTCTCTTTTGTCTCTTCCGAATCTTCTTTCGAGTACGCCCGGCGGCGGTGGAAAGAAAGGCAGCAGCAGCAGCAGCAGCAGCAGCAGCAGCAGCAGCAGCAGCAGCAGCAGCGGCAGCAGCAGCAGCACGAGATACAGGATAGGGAGGTGACCCTCAACAACCCCTCGCTGGCCCTGAAGCAGCACGTGCAGCGCATGCGGCTGCGTGCAGAGCGAGCTGCAGCAGCAGCAGCAGCTGCTGCTGCTGCTGCTGCAGCAGGGGAAGCAGCAGCAGCAGATAAGCCCCCTGCTGAATTCGACCTGCTGTTTAACCACTGGTCACTTTCAGCTGCAGCACAAAAGGAAGCAGAAATTACGGGCCTTGTGCAGCAGCTAGCTGAGCTGCTGCCGCTGCCCCGCCGCAGGGGTGCAGCAGCAGCAGCAGCAGCAGCTGCTGCTGCTGCTAAACCGGCCAGGAAGGCTGCTGCTGCTCGCAGCAGCAGCGGCAGCAGCGAGGAGGACAGAGAGACAGCAGCAACAAGCAGCAGGGGCAGGGAAACACCGCGCGGCAGCAGCAGCAGCGGCTACAGACGCAGCAGCAGCAGCAGCAGCAGCAGCAGCAACAAGAAAGTCTCCTTTATGGCTGAAGCAGGCCACGAGACCCCAAGAGAACCCCCACAGAGCCACGACGCAGCAGCAGCAGCAGCAGCAGCAGCAGCGGCGGCCGAAGACGCTGCGTTGAAAGAACGAGCAGCAGCAGCACCGCCAGCGCCATCAGCAGCAGCAGCGCCAGCAGCAGCAGCAGCAGCAGCAGCAGCAGCAGCAGCAGCAAACCTCCAGGGTCTTCCTTTCTCTTTTGCTGCTGCTGACAATGATGTGCCTCTGGGCCTTTTGCTGCCAGCCTCCAAGCGGCAGCTGCCACAAGAGGAGCCCCCAGCGGGCCTGAGGTTTACAGAACCAGCAGCAGCAGCAGCAGCAGCAGCAGCAGCAGCAGCAGCAGCAGCAGGGGGATCGCCCGCAGCAGCAGCTGCTGCATTTCCCCCATCGGCCCCGTTCCGGGAGCAGCAAATAGAACAAACCCCCTCAACTCCTAGAGGGTCTTATTTGGGGGGCCCCCCTGAGGGGGCCCCCCTTCGGGGGCCCCTGTTGCAGGGGGGGCCCCCCATGGGGGCCCCCCGCCAAGGGGGGCCCCCTCTGGGGGCCCCTGAGAACTTGAAAGTGAAACCCCCGGGGGCCCCTCCTCGGGGCGCGTTTCCCCAGAAGTTTCTGTTTCCTCCTGCTGCCAACGCGGGCCGCAGCAGCAAAAGTGCAGCAGCAGCAGCAGCAGCAGCAGCAGCAGCAGCAGCAGCAGCAGCAGCAGCAGCAGAAGATGGCGAAACTGAGGCCGAAATAGACCCGGCGGACGCAGCAGATGATGAGCTTGGAAGAGGACTTTCTCAAGTGCTGATTCGCACGGAGGAAGATGTATCCAGAAGCCCCTGCAGCAGCAGCAGAAGCAGCAGCAGCAGCAGCAGCAGCAGCAGCAGCAGGAGCAGCAGCTTGTGCAGCTGGCTGAGTGACGACGACGAGGAGCTGCCACGCGCTCGCAAGACGCAGGCTCCGGCTGAGCAGCTGCTGCTGCAGCCGCAGCAGCCGCAGCAACAGCAGCAGCAGCAGCAGCAGCAGCAGCAGCAGCAGCAGCAGCAGCAGCAGCAGCGCCTCTTCATGACTGCTGCTGTGCATGCAGCATCCCCCCGCAGCGAAAAGCCAAAAGCTGCTGCCAAGAAGAGGCCCCCCCCGGTGCCTCCTTTGAAGGGGGGCAGCAGCGTGCAGTCAAAAGAGGGGTTTGGGGGGCCCTCAGATGCTGCTGCTGCTGCTGCTGCTGCTGCTGCTGCTGCTGCTGGTGCAGCAGCAGCAGCAAACGAAAAGGCGGCGGGGTCCCGCAGAGGCTCGCAGACGTCGCGAGAGCTGTTAGCAGCAACAACGAAGGAGAAGCTTTTGAGCCGGTCCGACTCATTGACTGGAGACGCAGCAGCAGCAGCAGCAGCAGCAGCAGCAGCAGCAGCAGAAGGGTCTCCTCGCTCCTCGAAAGGAGCCACGCCCCGCAAGCAGCAGCAGCAGCAGCAGCAGCAGCAGCAGCAGGACGCTGCAGTGAGTCCGAGTGCGGGCTCCCCCGCGTCGACGGCGCGGCGGCGGGGGTCCGCTTCTTCGCAGCAGCAGCAGCAGCAGCAGCAGCAGCAGCAGCAGCAGCAGCAGCAGCGGGGGAAGGAGCAGCAGAAGCCGCGGGGGCCCCGCGCGCGGCAGGTAGTAACAGCAACAAGTGAAGAAGACATCAACTCCGGGCGGCTGCTGCTGGACCCGAAGCTAATTGAGTCTTTTCGGGTGAAGCAGCAGCAGCAGCAGCAAGCGCTGCAGGACTTGGAGAAGCTTTACGAGCTGCTGAAGGAAGACGCAGCAGCAGAGGGAGCAGCAGCAGCAGCAGCAGCAGACGGCGCAGCAGCAGCAGCAAACGCCGGCAAGAAAGACGACGACAAGCACCACAGCCACAAAAGCCAGCAGCAGCAGCAGCAGCAGCAGCAGCAGCAGCAGCAGCAGCAGCAGGGGAGGCAGCGGGAGCTGGAGTGGGCGTCGCCGCTGGACAGCGTGCTGCAGCAGCTGCGGCAGCTGCAGCAGCAGCCCGCAGCGCAGCAGCAGCGGGGAGTTGCAGCAGCACTTGGAGATGTCTTGGAAACCCTAAAAGGGACTTTAGAAATGCTGGAAGCAGCAGACAAAGACAGGAGAGAAGAAGCAGCAGCGCAGCGGCTGCTGCTGCAGCAAGCAGCAGCAGAAAGGCGAGAAGCAATAGCAGCAGCACTGCAGCAAGTCGAGGCCCTCGCCTGCAAGGGGCAGCAAGCAGCAGCAGCAAAAGAGACACAACAGAATAAAGAAATCAAAGAACTGCATGCGCAGCTGCAGCAACTCAGCAAACAAAAAGACCTTCTCCGCAAACAAATCGAGCTGCTGCAGCAGTTCTGCAGCAGCGACCAGTGCGTGCTGCTGCAGCAGCCCCCCACTGCAGCAGCAGCAGCAGCAGCAGCAGCAGCAGCGGGAAAGCAGGCGGGCGAGGCGTCTCCCCAAGCGGGGGGCCCCTCAGGGGGGACTTCTCCGTCTCGGGGGGCCCCCCAAGAAGAGGGGCCCCCGGGGGCCTCCCTCACAGGGGGGGCCCCCAAGGGGGGCCCCCCTGGGGGGCCCCCCCCAGTGGGTAGTCCCCCCCCAAAGGGGGCCCCCTCCCCAGGGAGGGGGCCCCCAGGGGGGCCCCCCCCAGCGGGGGGCCCCCAAGGCGCGGGGGGCCCCCAACGGGCTGGGGGCCCCCAGGGGGGCCCCCAGGGGGGCCCCCAGGGGGGCCCCCAGGGGGGCCCCCAGGGGGGCCCCCAGGGGGGCCCCCGGGGGGGCCCCCATGGGGGCCCCGGGAGTCTGGAAGAACTTTTAAAAGTGGTGAAGGGATTATCTGTGTTGGAAAAAAAAGAAAGAGAAAAGTTTTTGTTGGAAACGAAAGCAGCAGTTGAAGAAATAGGAGAAAAAGAAAAAGAAAGAAAGAAATTAAAAGAAACAATTGAAAAGACTTTGGAAGTGGCAATGAGGACTTGGGAAAAAAGAAATGAAAACAGAAAAAGAAATGAAAGTGAAAAAAGAAATGAAAATAAAAAAAGAAATGAAATTCAAAAAGTCCCAAAAGCCAGCCAAAGGACTCAAGACACTCCAAAGACACTCCAAAAGGTGGTTTAAATAAATTATTTATTTCAAATAAATTTTTAATTTAAAATAAATTGTTATTTTAAATTTAATAATAAATAAATTATTATTTTAAATTTAATAATTAATTGAAAATAAATAGTCAAATATGCATAATTTATCTGAAATAATTAATTATTTTAAATTAAATGACTAATTAAAAATAAATAGTTAAATACAAATAATTAATTCAAAATAAATAATTAATTTAAAACCAATAAATGAATGCGAATAAATGAATGCAAATATAAAGAAATAAAAAAAGAATAAAAAACAAATAATTAAATAAAACTAAAATAAATAAAAATGAAAAAATTAAGAGAGAAGCGTATCTCTTTTTCTCGCTAATTGCATTTTACTTTTTGTGTTTATTTCATTTATTTTATTTAATTCATTTAATGTATTTAATTATTTTATTTTATTTTATTTTATTTTATTTTATTTTATTTTATTTTATTTTATTTTATTTTATTTTATTTTATTTTTATTTTGTCTCTTCAGGCAGCAGAAGCAGTTGATGAAACAGCAGCAGCAATTCTTTGCTGCTCCTTTTCTTCAGTGGCGGGGGCCCTTGAGCGGTTTTCAAGTGCTGCTGCTGCTGCTGCTGCGCTGCAGCAGCAGCTGCAGCAGCAGCAGCAGCAGCTGCAGCAGCAGCTGCAGCAGCAGCTGCAGCAGCAGCAAGACAGAACAGAAATCAACACCAGGGATCAACAAAAGACACTCGAGGAGGCAACCAAACTCAAACTCAAAGAAGCAAGAAAAGCCGTGCGCCTGGTTTAGGGTTTAGGGTTTAGGGTTTAGGGTTTAGGGTTTAGGGTTTAGGGTTTAGGGTTTAGGGTTTGTATTTAGGGTTTAGGGTTTAGGGTTTAGGGTTTAGGGTTTAGGGTTTAGGGTTTAGGGTTTAGGGTTTTAGGGTTTAGGGTTTAGGGTTTAGGGTTTAGGGTTTAGGGTTTAGGGTTTAGGGTTTAGGGTTTAGGGCAGTGGTCAGCTTAGGGTTTAGGGTTTAGGGTTTAGGGTTTAGGGTTTAGGGTTTAGGGTTTAGGGTTTGCGGTTTAGGGTTTAGGGTTTAGGGTTTAGGGTTTAGGGTTTAGGGTTTAGGGTTTAGGGTTTAGGGTTTTGTTTTAGGGTTTAGGGTTTAGGGTTTAGGGTTTAGGGTTTAGGGTTTAGGGTTTAGGGTTTAGGGTTTAGGATTTAGGGTTTAGGGTTTAGGGTTTAGGGTTTAGGGTTTAGGGTTTAGGGTTTAGGGTTTAGGGTTTAGGAAGGGTTTAGGGTTTAGGGTTTAGGGTTTAGGGTTTAGGGTTTAGGGTTTAGGGTTTAGGGTTTAGGGTTTCCACATTTGAAGGGGCACATTAATGACAAGCCTCTTTGCTTGACCCTCGCTGATCCGCTGTTTCCTCGCTGCTGCTGCGGCTGCTGCTGCCCTTGCTGCTGCTGCTGCTGCTGCTGCTGCTGCTGCTGCTGCAGTGCGAAGAAGCTGCTGCTCACCTGGAGTCGGAGATTGGGGAAATGGGGGCCCTCAGCGAAAGCTCGACAGCTCCGAGCAGCTTGAGGGGCCCCCTGGGGGCCCCCCTGGGGGCCCCCCTGGGGGCCCCCCTGGGGCCCTCTTTGAGGGGCCCCTCTTACTACGGGGGGCCCCCCACTTTGCCCGAAATCAGAGACTGTCTGCTGTCCCCTTTAGCAGCAAAAAGACAAGAGGGTTTGCTGCTGCTGAAGAAATGCCTGGCCCTCAGCAGCAGCCAGCAGCAGCAGCAGCAGCAGCAGCAAAGTCCCAGAGCAGCAGCAGCAAGAAGGGCCAAGGCCCATCTCCTCTTCCACAGGCTCCAGCTTCTTGTACAGGCCCAAGCTGGGGGGGGCCCCCCTGGAGGGACGAGGCGAGGGGATGGGAGGGACACATACTCCAAAGGTCAGGAACTAGGGTTTAGGGTTTAGGGTTTAGGGTTTAGGGTTTAGTGTTTAGGGTTTGATGTTTAGGATGTATTTGCATGAACAGTTGTTTATATTAGATAAGACTTTTTTGGGGAAAATATATAAAGATATAAATTTGTAGAAACATGCCTTTGCCTCTGGATCCATTGTTTCTTGCCTAGGGTTTAGGGTTTAGGGTTTAGGGTTTAGGGTTTAGGGTTTAGGGTTTAGGGTTTAGGGTTTAGGGCAAATGCTGTTGAGCTGCAGCAGGGAAACAAAGAGACAAAAGCTGCAGCAAAAGAGGCTCGGGACCGCCAGGTGTACGTACACCCGAACGGGGGGCCCTCGCCTTACGAAATTCGTTTGTTAGGTAATTACAAATTAAAAATCCAAAAAAATAAAAACAATTTAAATCTTATTTTGTTTTTAAATTCCCAAAAAAGATTTAATTAAATAATCCAAAAGAAGACATTAAAAACCTCTTTTTATTTTTCAGGCAGCAGCGTCGTTGCCCAAGCAGCAGCAGCACCTGCAGGGGGCCCCCGGACGTGAGAGAAGCGTCTCAAGAGCCAGCGGAGACTCCTTTTTGTATGGAGACTTTGAAGAAGGAAGTAGAAGAAGACTTCCGACAGCTTTGGTGAAAGATTTATTATCTTTTGAAATGAAAGAAGCCAGTGAGAAGTGGGACTTTTTAAAATCTTTTTTTGGAGTTTTTAAAAAGCTTTTTTTGGTTTTTTTTTATTTAAAAAATCTTTTTTTTGGCTTTTTTGACTCTCTTTGAGAATGCCTATTTGTCTCTTTTTGGCATTTTAATTTAATTTATTTTTTTAGTTTGTCTTTTTGTTTATCTCTTTTTGTCTTTCTTCCTTTCTTTGTTTTTTCTCTCATCTTTTTATCTTATTTTGTTTTTCTTTTTTTTTCTTTTTTTGTTTTTTATTTGCTTCTTTTTGTGTCCTTCAATCTCTTTTTACTTTGCTTTCTTTCAGTCCCTTTTTTTCTTTTTTTGTTTTTTCTTTTTTAATATTTTAATTTCATTTTTATTTCCTTTTTGCTGCTGTCCTTTGCGGTTTCTGTCATTTGCTGCTGTTGCTGCTGCTTTGTGCCTCTTTGCTGCTGCATTTTGCTGCTGCTTTGTGTCTCTTTGCTGCTGCATGTTGCTGCTGCTTTGTGTCTGTTTGCTGCTGCATTTTGCTGCTGCTTGGTGTCTCTTTGCTGCCACATGTTGCTGCTGCTTTGTGTCTGTTTGCTGCTGCATTTTGCTGCTGCTTTGTGCCTCTTTGCTGCTGCATTTTGCTGCTGCTTTGTGCCTCTTTGCTGCTGCATTTTGCTGCTGCTTTGTGTCTCTTTGCTGCTGCATTTTGCTGCTGCTTTGTGCCTCTTTGCTGCTGCATTTTGCTGCTGCTTTGTGCCTCTTTGCTGCTGCATTTTGCAATTTGCTGCTGCTCTTGTTTGCTTTTGCTGCAGTGCTGCTGCTGGGGGGGCCCCCCAAGAAAAGGGTACTGGGGGCCCCCACCCGGCTTTGTCTCTTCTGCAGCCTCCAGAAAGGTTTTATAAAGGCCACAGAACTCCAGGAGTTTGGTTTCAATATGCGGACAAACACAAACAAGGTGCTGCTGCTGCTGCTGCTGCTGCTGCTGCTGCTGCTGCTGCTGCTGCTGCTGCTGCTGATGGTGGTGGTGGTGGTGGTGTGGGTGCTGCTGCTGCTGCTGATGCTGGTGGTGGTGGTGCTGCTGCTGCTGCTACTGTTGCTGATGCGGGTGGCTTGTTGCTATTGTTCTTGCTGCTGCTGCTGCTGCTGCTGCTGCTGCTGCTGCTGCTGCTGAGTTGTTGCTGCGGTTCTTCCAGGTGTTGCAGGTGTCTTGCTGATGCTGCTGCTGCTGCTGCTGCTGCTTCTGCTGCTTGGCTTGTTTTCATTTCGTGCTGCTTTTTTGTTTTTGGTGCTTTTGCTGCTGTTGCTGCTGTTGCTGCTGCTGCTGCTGCTGCTGCTGTGTCGCCTTCTGCGCTTATCTGCTGGCGGTGGGTGCATGCATGCATGCATGCATGCATGCACGCATGCATGCATGCATGCATGCATGTAGTGCATTAAAATGGTTAATTTGAACAATTAAATGAATAATTAAATATTTTATTTTCAGGATTTGAAAGAGGAGCTGAAGGAGCTCAAAAGGGAATTAGTTTTCTTTTTGCCCCTGAGGCCAACACAAGAGGTGCGGTGAGTTCCAGAAACTCATTTAATTAAATAAATAAATAATTTAATTAAAATAATAAATAATTTAATCAAATAAATAAATAATTTAAATAAATTAATTAATAAATTGAATGAATAAATAAGTTAAATAAATAAATAATTTCAATAAATAGATTAATCATTTAATTAAATAAATAATTAATTTGATTAAATAAGTCAATAATTTAATCGATTAAATAATCAATTAATTAATTTAATAATTTAATTAAATAAATAATTAATTTAATTAAGTAACTTAATAATTCGATTGAATAAGTAATTAATTTAATTAAGTAATTTAATAATTTAACTAAATAAACAATTAAGTTAATTAAATAAATAATTAGTTTAATCGAATATTTAAAATTTTAAATAAATAAATGAGTAATTTAATTAAATAATCAAATAATCTCATCAAGTAAATAATTAAATTTAATTTAAAAGTAACTGATTTAACTAAATATATAAATAATTTATTTATTTATTGATGAATTAAATTAGCTAACAATTGGTTAATTGATTAATTAATTAATTTAATTAAATCAAAAAATTTGGTAGTTTGTTAATTAGCTAATTTAGGGGTTGGTAATGATTTAGCGGATTAGTTAATTAATCGACTAGTTAATTAATTACTTAATTAGTCTAATTAAATAATTAATTGAGTAAATAATTAAATAATTAAATAAATAATTAATTAAATAATTAATTAAATAATCAATTAAATAATTAATTATTTAATTGGTTGGAAAGTTAGTTGATTGATACTAATAACCGGAGCAGCAGCTAATAAACAATTAGATAAAATGGTAAATTTCAAACAAAAATAAAATGCAAAAAAATATAAATTAAAAATCTTTTTTAGGTAAAATGGCAAATTAAAAAAAAAATAAAATGCAAAAAAGAATAAATTAAAAATCTTTTTTGTCATTTTGCTGCATGCAGCCCACCGCAGCGCAGCAGACAAACGCCGCGGCCACAAGCCCTAGGGCCCTTCCATCTCGGCAGCAGCAGCAGCAGCAGCAGCAGCAGCCAGCAGCAGCAGCAGCAGCAGCAGCAGCAGCAGCAGCAGCACAAGGGAGGGGCGGAGGGGGTTCACGCCGCCGCAGTTCCACGGGCACCCAATTCTTATCGGGGGCCCTAGCGGGGCCCCCTGGGGGCCCCCCTGGGGGCCCCCCTGGGGGCCCCCCCGGGCAAAGAAGAGGGGCCTCCGCGTCTGGGGGCCCCCTGGGGGCCCCCCCGGGGGCCCCCCTGGGGGCCCCCCCCTCGAGGGGCCCCCCGGGGGCCCCCCTGGGCTCGAGGGGCCCCTCGCGCGGGCAGCGGAGCCTCTCGCGGGGCCGGAGCAGGGGCCCCCGGGGCCGGCGGCACCGCCGCCACCGCAGCAGCAGCAGCAGCAGCAGCAGCAGCAGCAGCAGCAGCAGCAGGAAGCAGCGGAGAAGCAAAAGGGCCCCTGCTGCTGTCCCCTTCGTAGACCCTCTTTCCTTCAAACCCCCGCCCCCCAAAAAGAGGCCCCTGGAGACCCCCTGGGCCCTCTATGGAAGGCCAGCCCCAGAAAGGAGACAGCGAAATTTGGCGAAGTTGCCAACAAAAGAACAAGAAGAAAACTTGGATTTAATTGACAAAACTCTCGACCAGATTTACCAAGTCCTTGTGGGGCCTCCTGCGCAATTTGCTGCTTCTTCCGAGGGTTCTAGCAGTCCCCGCACGCCCCCTGCTGCTGCTGCTGCTGCTGCTGCTGCTGCTGCTGCAGCAGCAGCAGCAGGCAGCGAGCAGCAGATTCACCTGCTGCCCTCGCGCTGCAAGCAGCAAATCGTCCAGGAGGCCGCGCATGCATTTGCTGCAGCAGGAAGGCCTGCGGTCCACCGGAGGCCCCCTCCCCCTCCTGCTGCTGCTGCTGCTGCTGCTGCTGCTGCTGCTGCTGCTGCTGCTGCTGCTGCTGGCACGGCCAAACGCCCACTGATGAAACGCAGCCAGCAGCGCCAATTCTCAGACTCCCCGCATGCAGCAGCAGCAGACGGGCCGCTTCAGGGGCCCTCTGCTGCTGCAGGGGGGGCCCCCCGGGGGCCCCCCAAGGGGGGGGCCCCCGGGGGGCCCCCCTCCAGCTCCCGGGGGCCCCCCTCCAGCTCCAGGGGGGCCCCCTCTGCAGCAACTGCTTCTACGGAGGGCCTCAAAGGCAGACGCAGCATGCCTTTGGACTTGACAAAAGTGAAGAACAAACACAGCAGCGAAGCTGTCCCTAAACTGTCTCCCCAAGAGCTGCAGCAGCTGCAGCAGCAGCAGCAGCAGCAGCAGCAGCAGCAGCAGCAGCAGCAAGGAGAGGAAACCGACACAGATGCTTCCAACGGCGAACCCGATGAGGGGCCCCCCACCTTCTTCGGGGCGCCCAGAGACGCAGCAGCAGCAGCAGGCAGCAAAAGGGGGCCCCCCAGGGGGCCCCCCAAGGGGCCCCCCAAGGGGCCCCCCAAGGGGCCCCCGCCCAGGGGGCCCCCCACCAAGGGGGTCCCTAAGGGGCCCCCCCAGGGGCCCCCCAAGAAGTGGGGGGCCCCCCCAGTACCCTACAGCTTGGAGGCGGTGCCTGTGGAGCCCCCTGAGGGCCCCTCTGGCTCTGGGGGCCCCTCGGGGGGGCCCCCGGGGGCCCCTTTAGACAAAGAAGAAGCAAAGGGACTTATAAAAGAGACAGAAAGTGAAAAAGGAGACAAACAAATCCCAGAAAAGAACAACAAGTGGTGGGCCCCCCTGCTGCACCCCCCCCACTTTAACTTCTGGGACTTGGGGGCCCCCAGCGACTCCGAGGGGGCCTCCAGCGACAGCGGGGGGGCCCCCAGCGAAGCTGGGGGGCCCCCCAATGGGGACCAGGGGGCCCCCTGTGGGGTGGGGGGGGCCCCCAGCGGGGGGCCCCCTGCCTCTGAAGGAGACAGGGAAATCCCCAGGACCCCCAAAGCAGCAGACAGGATTTTAAAAGAGATTGCTGAAGTGCCTTGGGAGCTACGGGGACAGCCCAGACAGCAGCAGCAGCAGCAGCAGCAGCAGCAGCAGCAGCAGCAGCAGCAGGAAAGGGCACAGCTGCTGCAGCCACCTACGGGGGGCCCCCTCACTCCCAACAAGGCAGCAAGGGGGCCCCCGCCCCCGCCCGCAACAAGCAGCTTGCCTTCTTGGGGGCCCCCCAAAGCTGCTGCAGCTGCGCAAAACGCGCAGCAGCAGCAGCAGCAGCAGCAGCAGCAGCAGCAGCAGCAGAAGGCCCTTTCTGTTCGGGGGCCCCCAGCCAAGAGCAGGCCCCAGGGGGGCCCCCCAACTCCAAAGGCCAAGTCCAAACCCTCTGCTGCAGCTGCAAAGAAGAGGCCCCCTTCTGCTGCACCACCGGGGGGCCCCCCTCCAAGGGGCCCCCAAGCAGGGGGGCCCCCCAACATGAATGGCTTGGGGGCCCCCCCCAGCAACTCAGGTTTGGTTCTCAGCGGCTACAGCAGCAGCAGCAGTGGGGCCCCAGACCCAGGCGTGGGGGCCCCCGCGTGGGGGCCCCCCCTTGGGGGGCCCCCAGTGGCGATACCCCTAAATGGCGAGGGTCCTATGGGGGCCCCCAGCCCGGGGGGCCCCACCCTGGAGTGGCTCCCTGTTCAGGGGGGCCCCCCTGTGGGGGCCCCTGTGGGGGCCCCTGTGGGGGCCCCTGTGGGGGCCCCCCCTGTGGAGATCTTGCCTATGGAGTTCTGCCCCGCTACAGAGGGGCCCCCTGTGGGGCCCCCCTCCCCTGTGGGGGCCGCCTCCCGTGTGGGGGCCCCCTCCCCTGTGGGGGGCCCCCCTGTGGGGGCCCCCAGGGGGGGCCCCCCTGGCCGAGGGGCCCCCGTGGCAATGAAGCCCCTAAGGGAATTCCCGGGGGTCTCTGCAAACTTCGATGGGCTGTGGCAAATATGGCTGAGACAACAAGAGGCCCTTTCTATTGAAGATGTGCCCCCCTTGGGGGCTGGGGGGCCCCCCAGTACCCTCCCGGAGGGGGCCCCCCCGGCTAGGCAGAGCGGGGGGGCCCCCTCGGGGGCCCCCCCGGGGGGCCCCCAGAAGGAGGCCCCCGGGGGCCCCCAGAAGGAGGCCCCCGGGGGCCCCCAAAAGGGGCCCCCCGAGACTTATAGAGTTATGCTAAATGCTAGTAAGGCTGAAGACGAACTTGTGTACGATGTGTACAAGGAAGAGCCCCTCCCGGACCCTGCTGCTGCAGCAGCAGCAGCGGCAGCAGCAGCAGCAGCAGCGGGGCCCCCCCCAAGCGTCTACCCCAGCGAAGACCCTCTGGGGCCCCCAGCAACCTGGGGGGCCCCGGGGGCCCCCCCAGTAGACCCTTTTGCTGCTGCTGTGGGGGCCAGCGAGGGCTTTAATACTTTTTGGGAGAGAATGCAAAGACACAGGGCGCAGCAGTACTACTGAGGTGTACGTACACCCGGAGCGGGGGGCGGAGGGCGTGCTGCTGCAGCAGCAGCAGCAGCAGCAGCAGCAGCAGCAGCAGCAGCAAGGGACGCAGACATTCTTTGTGTGTCTGTTTTATTCCCAATTAGACAGTTTGTAGTTCTTTGTAATTTGTCCTCGCGGCGCGACTCCCAGGCTGAGGTGTCTGTACACCTGAGAGCTGCGGAGTGTGGGGTCAGCAGCAGCAGCAGCAGCAGCAGCAGCAGCTGCTGCTGCTTTCATTTTTCTGGTTTTTTTGTCTTTTGCAGCAGCCCTAAAGCCGCTTCTCTGCATGCACTTGCATGCCTTTGCTGCAGTTGCTGCTGCTGCTTTTGCTGCTGCTGCTGCACAGCGCCGAAGCGCTTATTTGTCCATTTCAAAACTATGCTTATTTGTCTATTTTGAAACTAAAATAAATAACAATTAATCGAAAGACCTGACAAGTTTTAAAAGGATTAAAAGCCTTCAAGTTGGAGTCTTTTCAGTCGGAGGTAAAATGCCAAAAAAACAAAACGCCTGGCCTCCCCGTTGAGGTGTACGTACACCTCAACCTCCAGCACCCCAAGCCCACGAAAAAATCCAAAAAAGAATAAATAAATATATTTAAGTCCTATTTACAACAAACTATATATATAATTATAATTATATATATAATAATATATATATATATCATATATTTGCAGAATTAAATGCCGTTCACGATGCAGAAACTTGCTCATTCATTCAGGTGTACGTACACCCCACGCAGCCCTGGGCAAAACGCCGACTGCGACGTTTTGCCGCCAAAGTGGAAATGGCAAATAATTTAAAATGAAAAAAGGGAAATAAATATAAAATCTAAGCAATATTTGCAAATAGAGAAACATTTGAAAAGAAAAGGAACAAAACCTGAATAAATAAAAAATCTAAACAACACTTGCAAATAAAAAAACAAAACCTGAATTTATCTGTACAAAAAAACATGTAAATAAATAAAGAAATATATGTAATATATATACATAATATATACATATACATATTATACATAATATATATATATATATACATATATATACATATATATATACATATATATATAAACATAATCTATATGCAAATATGCACAGATGCAGAAGCCAAATATATATACTAATGCATAATGCAGAAGTTCATTTAAATGGACAAATATGGAAAAAAGAGGATAAAGAAATGCAAAAAGAAATGCAAATAAAGATGTCAAAATCAAATAAACAGAGTCAAACTCCAAAGACACATTTGCAAACAAATCTCACAAACATTTAATTTAAAATATAATTCCATTTACACTATAATGGACTCTGCCAAAGCCCATGCATATATACGCCTGTACATAAATGCACAAGAACAAATCTATATACATATATATTCAATAATGTACAAATTATATATATAAAGATAAATATATATATATATGTATAAATATATATATATAGAACTATATATAGAACTATATATATATATATCCACCACTATACACATATAAATATACATATTTATATTATTTATATGAGTGTGCACATGGAGGCATACACATACATATATATACATGTATATATAAATATATAATAAAATAGAAATACAAGCACATACATCCACTAATAGAATATATATATATATAGATATAGATATAATTATACACTATTACTTACATATATCTATACATATATATATATATATCTGCATAGGTACATACATACATTATGCATTAGGTATATATATGTACATTCATATATGTGTATGTACCTTTGATTACAAACATACATATACATATAACTGTATATACCATATATATATATATATATATATATAGATATATAAATATTTATATATATATATAAGTGTGTACCATTACAAATATATATATAGACTATATATGTACAACTATGGACATACAAGCACATTTCACATATTTGAAAGCGCATGCACACAGAACAGACTCCCAAAAGACGAGTAAATATAAACAAACAAAAGACACAAATAATAAAAAGTTTAAACAAAACAAATAATACAAATTACGCAAATAAACAAACACTCAGGCCTACACGAGCTTTGCCCATCTGTCTAAAAACAAATAATGAAAAAGTAAAAAAAACATGAAAAAGAAAAACGTGCAAAGTTCACCACGGGCTTTTGCATGCATGCAACTTGCATGCATGCAACTTGCATGCATGCAAAAAGGAGAAAAGTAGCAAAAATGCAAAAAAACATTTTAAATGCAGCCCCGAATGCCTACAAACTTATAAACTACAGTAGCCTCATTATTTATGTAAATATAAATGCATTGAAGTGTTTCTAAAAGTATGAAATGCATTAATACACATCTAATGGAAAAGACATTTCTAAAAATATATTTTAAGCACAAAGGAACAAAGATGAGGAAATTAATAACGCACTGGAAGAGCAAAAACTTCTAAAAAGGTATTTAAATGCGCACTTATAAGCATTTAAATATATTTGCGCATTTATAAACATTCAAAGACAATTTAAAATTCAAATATTCAACTTTTCACAAAGACAATTTAAATTTCAAATATTCAATTTTTCATTCTTGCGAAAAGTCGAACGCATGCGGGCAGCAGCTGTACGTACACTTCAGAGCTAACGCCAACGCCCAGAGCTGACAACTAAATGCAGAAAGTGCAGCAAAATAGTGAAAAGTTGCACATAAATAACATTTAAATGATATTTAAATAATATCTGAATACTATTTAATTATTATTTAAATATTTTGGCCATTTATATGCCTCTGTGTGCCGGGCGGAAGACTCGAAAAAGCAAGTGTACGTACACCGGGACTTTTATGGACTCAAAGTGCAAAATTCATAAACTGTTTTTTCCGCAGACAAAAAGCAAAAACAAAAAATGCAAACATTTCAATTATTTACAAATATTAGAAGTGCATTTAAATCTTCCAGTATATGCAGAGTAGAGCCAGCTGCCATTAGCTGGCTAGCTAGCTAGCTAGCTAGCCACTGGATAGCGAGCAAAAATGCACAAATATGCAAATATAGGCAAATGCAAACAATTCATAAACAGCCCCAACTTCTACAGCACTTCAAAGCATTTAAAAACACTAATAATTCTATAAACACTAAAATATATTTATAAACATCTGCAAACATATATTAGACATTTACACACACATGTTCATAAACATGCATAAACACATGCTGAATGTTTATAGACATATACTAGCCATCTATGAATATATATATATATATACCTACAACTGCATACGTTTACGTAATATATAAATATAAATATATATATATATATATATATAACAAAAGAAATATGGCAAAAACTGGCATAATTAAGCATTGACATATATATCCTATAAATAAATATACACTAAATAGACAAAATACAACATTATAATAAATAAATAAATAAATATGTACATATTGACGGATATACAAGTCCATATACACATATATATACACATGAATATACTCTTATGCATATATATGCATACACAAACATATAACAATACAAATCCTTATTTATATTTGGCTAAATATTCAAATCAATAAATGCATAAGCATTATATGCATATATAAATCTGCAAGTATATATATATATATATCTAAAGATAAACACATTAGTGTATATATAAACAAATGTCAATAAACACAATTATAAATACAGAAAGTACATTCATTTGCCCCTTTACACAACACAAATGTAGAAAGAAACACGGTTTGCACTACAACACTACTTTTAAATGAAAATGATTTAAAAATGTTCCCATTTGTAGCCAAGAGATGCATGCAAAGATGCTACGGGGTGTACGTACACCCCAGCCCGCTAGGAGCAAGAGTTTCTGCATTTTTTAAAGTCAAATTTGAGCAGCAATTTCGGCAAATGGCCATAATTGGTTTTAAATGTGAAATAATATATTTATTTATGGGAATTTTATTTCCAAAAAGACGGGAAAAGATGCAAAAAAACACAAAAAACTTTCCAAGTTCAAACAAATAAAGCAACTCCTGCATTCAAAATTCAAAAACATTCTACAAATTCCAAAAAGCCTGCATGCAGGAAATAGGTCTAAATGAACTCAAAGAGAGGAAGTTCCAAATGCAAAGAATGCCAAAAGAAATGCTAAAAAAGAAACAAAGAGAAAAGTGGCAAGTGCATGCATGCATGCGTTTGCATGCATGCGTTTGCATGCATGCGTTTGCATGCATGCATTTGCATGCATGCAGTGTATGTACATACAGCGGAATCCATAAGCCAGTTGTACAAAACTTTTACGAGTCAACAAAGCTAGTCCTAATTAGCATTAAACTAGAAAGAAAAAGTTTATTTTGGAAATGCATTTATCTGCAAAAAACAAACTCTTCACAATTACAATGCTAGAATGCACTTTTTAAAACTTTAATTTGACAAAATGGCAAATACAACAAACAAATAGCCACTTTGGGCTGTACATACACCTAAAAGCCGGCACTATTAGTCCCTTTTCGCGGCGCATGCAAATGGCCATTTGGGGTGTACATACACCTGAAAACACGCGCGGTGTACGGAGAGCTTTCGAAGTTTTTGGCTTTTTTCCATTTAATGTCTTTTGTTTTAAATGCAAAAAAATGCAAAACTCCGAAAATGAAATAAAATGAAAAATTAAATTTATGCATTTGCCAGCATGTACGCATTTACACTGCTTTTCCATTTCCACCCATTTACCTGCAAATACATAAATAAGTTTAACTCTAAACACAAGTATATAAGTATACATATATATATATATTTATATATATTTATATATATATATACATACATATAATATATTTACATTTATATAAATATATATCCATACATATATACATATATTTGGAAAAGAATCTTTACATATATATACTCATGCACATATACAAAATATATTCTTTTTGTCCATATTAAATCCATTATGTACATTTACACAAATATATAAGTATACTAACATGCATCCTATGCATATATGT